GTGTTATCCTTACAAAGCGTTTATACAGAGCTGGAAGCACACATGGGTAGCCAAGATCAGGTCTATGTCATCCTGGCTGGGCACTCTCAGCACGGCACTAAGCCAGGGGGTCTCTCTGGGATATCATGGTGAACACTAAATAGAATGATAGAATCATGGAACTGAAAGGGACCTCGAGAGGTCATCTAGTCCAGTCCCCTACACTCATGGCAGGACTAAGTATTATCTAGACCATTCCTGACAGGTGTTTGTCCAACCTGCTCTTAAAAATCCCCAATGATGGAGATTCAACAACATCCCTAGGCAATTTATTCCAGTGCTTAACCACCCTAACAGGAAGTTTTTCCTAATGTCCAACCTAAACCACCCTTGCTGCAATTTAAGCCCATTGCTTCTTGTCCTATTCTCAGAGGTTAAGAAAAACAATTTTTCTCCCTCCTTCTTGTAACAACCTTTTATATGCTTGAAAACTGCTATCATGTCCCCCTTCAGTCTTCTCTTCTCCAGACTAAACAAATCCAATTTTTAAAATCTTCCCTCAAAGGTAATGTTTTTTAGATCTTTAATCATTTTTGTTGCTCTTCATTGGACTTTCTCCAATTTGTCCACATCTTTCCTGAAGTGTGGTGCCCAGAACTGGACACACTACTTTTTGCAACAGCTACACTGTTGACTCATATTTAGCTTATGATCCACTATGACCCACAGATCCCTTTCTGCAGTACTCCTTCCTAGGCAGTCATAGCTAGATAGATGTACATGCACACACACACATACACACGAGGCCCTGCTCCCCTCTCCCTTCAGCTGGGGTGGGATACAGCTGCCCCCGCCCTCCCCGGGCCAGACAGGGTTAGCGGAGTTCAACACCCACCACAGCAAAGCACAGTTGAGCCTTGGCTCTCTCCTAGGCCAGTGGCTGTTTCTGAACTCAGCTGATCCTGCCCACACCCAGCGGGATGGTTTGATTTCTGCCCTGGCTGAGTGGGGCGGGAGGGTGTGGTGTTTGACACCCATCAACTGTCAAACCAGGCAGGCGTTCCCCTTAGAGACAAGTCAGAGCAAACCATGTGCAAGTCCCTTCGCCAGGAGGGAGTCATGGAGTCCCCTGCATTTCCCCAGGCCTCTCTCACTCTGTGTCAGCTTGGCAGCCGTAGCCAGTTCCACCTTCTCAGCTTCTATTGCTCTGGGTACAAATGGCTTCTCAAGCCAGCTCTGTGCATTAACAGCATGTGCTTCACCGAGAGCCCAAAGCCGGTCTCAGTAGCTGAGGATGTAGAAGGAGCATAGGGAGGCCGGGGGGACAAAAGAACTGAGCCTTCCTACCAGCTGAGAATGTCCAGCTCAACACACCCAGCTTGCGAGGAGCAACAGAAACAAACCCTCATTAAAGCCCCTAATAACAAAGATACTGATTCCTAACTGCACCATTGTAGGACGGTTCCATTGACCTCTTTCTGCACTGAATTGTCTGACATAGGGTCGGTCCTGCTCATACAGCACATCTGTTGGCTCTGATGGCAGCCCCCACGTGCTTCGGCCCCCAGACTCTGAGCTCCATGCGGCAGAGACTCAGGTTGTGCGCAGAGAGGGCCGAGCACACCGGTGGCACACAAAATAATGGCTGGAATTGCGATACAAGGGTGGGCGCTGGTCAATGAGCAGCTGTGGAGACTGGGGAGCTTGGATCCTCAGGAGAGAAATGGGGCTGTGGTTGCTGTGGGCCAAGTGTCGGCAGCACCAGGCTTTACACACGAGAGCAGCGAAAGGAGGCGAGACATAGACTGAGCAGAGAGGCCAAGCTCCTTGCAGACTTGAGTCCTGTCCACTCCAGCCTGATAAGCCCCTACATTCTCCTCCCAGAGCCTGGACATCAAGTGCCTCTGGAAACCTGCGCTACATATTGGCACACCCTGGGGAAATCACAGAGGGAAGGGCTCTTTCCTTGCTGTCCCAACAACCCAGCTGGGCGACAGTGCCCAGGCTCTGGGCGTGGCTAGACGCAGTACTTCCAACATTCCCTCTCAGTTTCCTGCCAATGGGACTGTACCAAACCCCTGGATCGGAGCCCCCAGCAGGAATGTGGAGGACTCTGAAACCCCAGCCCAGACCTGGGTCAGAAGTTTGCTAAAAGCCTTGATCATGAGTCAAAACAAAGCTCTGGAGCCAAGAGACTTTGCAGTGTCCAGATGAATCATAGAATCATAGAATATCAGGGTTGGAAGAGACCTCAGGAGGTCATCTAGTCCAACCCCCTGCTCAAAGCAGGACCAATCCCCATGAGGTTGTGGCTGGAGCTCAGATCTCTCAACCAGGGGACATGCATTTCTCTCTGCTGTCCCTAACCCGCCTGTCATGGGAGAATCTAAGAGCCATTCCGACAATGCTTGAAACCCTAAGGCAAGCGCATGAGTGGGCTGGCCCCGTGGCTGCTCTATAGCTCTGTCTTTCGATCCTGATGAGAATCACCTCATCTAGGCAGCGATCCCAGTACCCCTTTCCTCACTGTGCAAGCAGGTAGTTTCCCCACTCTTCTAGCCTAGGAGGCGCTGGCATCTGCCTGTGTGTCCCGGCCTCAGCTGCCATAGGATGGGTGATGGGAGGGGCAGATGGGCCTATGAGACCTTGATCCCATCCCATCCCCTCCAAAATCTGCAACACAATGTCCTCATGTCCCCAGTATATGGGCTGCAATCTCCCATGCCTCTCACCCCTGCCCCGGAGGGATCCCTCTCTAGTATGAGAGGCGAGTTCAGTCTCAGTGGCCCGTTAAGCTGTGACTGTTTGCTCCCTCTGACTGCCCATAAGGGTGGAGGCAAATTAAGGCTAACTGCAGTGGGGATTTGGGGGATATAGATGCTTGTCCTGCTAGAAACTGAACTAAGACCCTGTAAACTCACTGCCCATGGGGGCTATCAGATGGGAATGGCTTCTGGTCACGGCTGATCTGGGCTGCTTTCAAACCAGTGCCCTTGGGAGCAAATGTCTACTTTTCTTCGGAGATGTTTCCCTCTTGACCCCATACTATAGATCCTAGACCTGCCCGTTGCCTAGGTCCTCCTCCACAGCCATTCCCTGCTTTCAATCTAGCACGACGCCGGCCTTGGCTCTTCCCATCTACCTCATTCACTCTCTGTACAGAGAAGTTCTCGCTGAGTTGCAAACAGTGCAAACCCTTGTCTCATTCCTGTTTTGGCCTGGGAATCAGCTGGTCCCAGGTGAGGCTTCTGAACTCCCTTATGATATAAGGGCCTATGGGAGCATCCCCAGAAGCCCAAATCTGCATGGAATTTGCAACTGTAGGGAGCCGGTTGCTAAGAGAAAGTCTGCGGCTGTGCAGCTGTGGAGGCAGCCTGCCTGCCTGCCTTGTAGCTTTCCTGTTAGTCACAAAAATGTGTCTCTGTAGGAAATGGACATTAAAGGCCTGGATCTGCTGCATTTCTGTGCCCACCTGGAATGGGCTCAGGATGCAGCCCTGAGAGGAGGAGAAGAACTGGACTGGATTTCTGAGCCCATGGGGAATGGGCTCATGAGAGCTGGGGAACTCATTTGTCAAACACAGGCCCCCAGAACATCCAAATTCCTCAGGGCGGCGAGTTATATGGGCCCGTGCTGCCCATGCTACAGGAATATTCAGGACCCGGGGGCCCGGCTCCACCAATGTTTGGGGCTGGGTTTCTCCCCTGGCCCCGCCTGCTGCCCCCACGTGCCTCTCCCGGAGCATCTCCCACCCCCGCCTGCCGCCCCCAGGCGATTTAAAAGGGCCCGGGTGCCCCCGGCCGCCACTGCCACCACTGGCAATGTAGTGGGGCTAAGGCAGCTTCCTGCCTGCCCTCGCTCCGCACCACTCCCGGAAGCAGCCGACACATCCCTGTGGCCCTGGGGGGGATGTGTATGTCCGTGCACTGCCCCCGCCCTGAGCGCCAACTCCGCAGCTCCCATTGGCTGGGAACTGTGGCTAATGGGAGCTACGGGGGCGGTGCCTATGGGAAGCGGTGCACGGAGACCCCCTGACCTCCCCCACCTAGGAGCCGCTGCCAGAGGGGTGTGCGGGTTGCTTTCGGGAGCCACCCGAGGTAAGCACCGCACCCCTCACCCTCTCCCGCACCCCAACCCCTTGCCCCAGCCCAGAGCCCGCACCCCAACTTCTTCACAGAGCCGCACCCCCGCACACCCTCCTGCACCCCAATCCCCTGTACCAGCCCAGAGCCCCCTCCCGTACCCAAACTCCCGCACCCAAACTCCCTCCCAGAGCCTTAGGCAGGTGTGGGTGGGGCGGGGTTTGACCCGTTCTGGGCACCACCAAAAATTATACAAACCTGCTGCCCCTGTCACCTGGATGCTTGGTTCGGAACCTCAGAGCACAACTGCTCATTGTATGTCCTAAGGTCCAACCGCAGGGCCAAAGCTGAGGTGCTAATTCCTTGTTTAGTTGCCTATACATGAAAATTTGGCCCTGAGCATTAAAACACTAAACCCAAAACATTTTAAGCAGCCTCTCAAACCTGTAATAGGCCAACACAGCCCAGCAAGACCCTCTTAGCAGAGCCCAGCCAGATGGCTCTTATTAACCAGTGCCCGGCTGGCACCAGAATCCTGGTTCCTACTACCAGCACCAGCTCCTGCCAACCAAGTGCCAGCTTAGAATGCCTTAACTCCACACTAGCGGCACAATACCCCTGCCGCCCCACATCACCAGCAGCACCCCAGGGGCAGCACATGCCAAGGCTGTCTGTGGGGCCTGCATTTTGGAAGCCACTTATGAAAAATACACATTTGGTCGTAGCCGGCGGTGATGCTTCTGGCAGTGGAGGGTGAGCATCCTCACTTAGCAAGCCTGTCCCCTTTCCAGGTGCCTGGGAGGAGGAAGAGGCTGGACAGAAGAAAAGGAAGAGCAAAGAACAAACAGCCAGGGAGGGAAGGGAGGGAGAAAGCAAAGCAAGAAGAGGATGAGGAAGGGAAGGCAGGAGGAGGTAGAGTTGATGCTATTAACAACATACCAGCTGAACTCCAGTCCCTGCCGGTTCTGCACACTCGCTTGCTGCAGGTTGGGTTAGTCCTGGGCACTGGCACCAGAGTGGAACAGCATCTGCCTGGAATGTGCCCTCCCGCCCCTCACGCCTGCTGAGCCATGGCAGGGTCAAGTACGAGCTCAATGAGATCGCACGGCAGACCTCTCGACTCACCCAGCTGGGGCTATGGAAGCCTCTTCCAGGAATCCTGCATGGTTTCCCAGCCCGAAAAACAAGCCGAGAACGATAACAACAACAAGCCCCAGGAGCCCAGATAACTGCTCCCCTGCCCTCTCTCGCTGCAAAACGCCTCTCCTTCCCCTCCTTCTGCCTCTTGCTTGGAAGTAGCACAGCAAATCCTCAGCCGGCTGCCCTTGCTGGGTTCAGCTGCTGTGCTGTTGGCGTGTATCTGACAGCATGACAGTCCTCTGTGTGTGTGTGTGTGTGTGTGTGTATCTCCCAGCCCCAGAGGCAGTGCCTGCAAAGGATCCAGTGGTGATAGCAATGTGGATTTAGAAAGCCAGTCAGAGCATGTGTGTGTGTGTGTGTGTGTGTGTGTGTGTGTGTGTGTGTGCAGCTCCCCACCTCTGCTGCTGGCTCAGTCCATTTCTGAACAAGAGGAGAATTAACCAGCATCATGACGAAGCAGTATTTGTGAGAGGTGGCGGCTCTCCATCTTGCTCTCTCTCCCTCCCGCTGTTAAATTTTGTTGTTGCAAAATAAAATGAAATAAATCAATACATGTCACCATGCTCTGTGCCGGTGCCAAAAATAACGTGGCAGAATGGAAGGGAGAGGAGTGGGTGGGGGAGCAATGGGTAGAATTTCCCCCCAGAAAATCCAGGCGATGCAATGTAAAGGAACCAGGCTGACAAACAGGATGTCATCCTGCAGAAATGGCTTTGCTCCAACTGGCTATAGCTCATGGATAGTATATGTCTAGACCCACCTTTCCTCCCACATCACCCCACCTTGCCAACTGTTGGAGTGCAGCTGCCTCTGGGGTGGAACGTGGCAGCTGTCTGGGATGCAGCACTATAACGCTTTAGGATGATAATCATTTGAGACCAAGTTTCCGGCTTCGGACTTGGATCAGAACTCCCGCAAAATTCCAGGGGGGCGGGCGAGTCACAGCCCTCTCTAAGGAAGCAGAATGCAGAGCCCATGGTGGAATTTGGCATGGACACTGTGGCTGACACCCCATCTCATGGAAAATATGCTGCAGAAACTGTAATGGCCATAAACGAGCTGGGCTTTGGTATCACAGCTGATCCAAGAGGGAGCACCTCCAGCACCCCTTTGCACAAGGCTGGGGAACCCATTCACTGATGACCCTGAGGGAAGAGCATTCTCTACTGAATCATCAGCACCAACTTTGGCAGCGGCTTAGGTTTTCCTGGGAGGTCTCCCATCCATGTCCCATCCAAATCCACTGTGCTTAGCACAGTGATCTGGGTTCATCTCTGGCTTGAGATGCCAGAATGCAGGTTTCCTACGGATGCAGGACAGGGGCCTGCTATTTCAGATCACATGCAAAGGGGCGGGGATCCTGCAGGTAGGCCCTGATGGGGTGGAAACATGAATGGCCTCATTTTCAGAAGCGCTCATAGCTCCCATCCATTGCAGGTGGCGTTTATGGGTGGTCGTAGACTATGAAAACCAGGCCCTCAGCTCTCCAGAATACCCCTCGTGGCTTCACAGAGCCAGGAAACAGGGGCTGCTACGCCTAGCAAGGGGACCTGTCCTCTGACCTTCCTGAGCCTGTGACATCCCAACCTGGGCATTTTTGGCAGTGCCATGTTCCCAAATAAATCCAAGGGCTCCCCCTTCAGGAGTTCATTTGCAACAACTGCTTAATCATCATGGGTTGCAAGTGCACTGGAGAAACACAGCTGGGGGAGAGAGCACAGAGCAGTAGCCTCTCTCCCCACACAGCTAGAACAGCACAGCACAGAACTGGTGGGGGCAGGGAGGGAAGTGGCTCAGAGACTAAATAGCCACTGACAATTCTGCAGCTGGGGGTGGGCCCAGGTGTTCCTGATCTGACTCTAAGAAAACCAGCTGTCAGGGAGCAGGCCACCTCCAGAGAGCGCCATGTGAAATGGAGAGTATGGGAGATGGATCAGGGAGGGTACAGGCCTCTCTCTGTCTCCAGCAGCGTCCCAGCCCTCCACAGACACTCTGGATGTGCAGGGAAGCAGGTATAGCAAGAGGGGGCCAATTATGACGATACCACCACTTGGCATTTCTCTGACACCTTTTATCCAGAGCCTCTGCAAAGGGGAGAAATTATCAGCACCCCTGTTGAGGCACAGCTTTTCCCAGCTCTACCGTATGGGCATAGAACCCAGCCTGCCCAGAGACAGGGATAACACTGCTGTCCTGACACACACCTTGCTGCTCTAACCACAGACCCCATCCCCAGCCACAGCCAGGAGTAGAAGCCAGGCGCCCCATACAAGATCAATAGTCGTCTGTTGCATGGCCAATGTACTCATGCAAACCCCGTTTCCCATGCGTTAAGAATGGTGCAAAGTCCACTAATGTCTAACGCCTCAGAATATGATGGTCAATAAGAGGAGCTAATGAAATCAGCCCAGAACTCAGAGGCGGGAAACTTCAACCCAGCCCCTCCTGTTCCATTGATTAACAAACCAGACTCCCTGCAGGGGCTCTTAATCCATCGGGCCAGGATTGAGGCCAGGAACGGCCCTGTTTCAGAGCTGGCCTCCCCCGGGGTGTAGTTCTAGGGTTCCTTACCGTTCCTGGTGATGGGCAGTGCGATCTCACATGCAGTCCCCTCTGTGGGTGCAGGGTGCTGAATGCTCAGACTCTCCTTCTCTCAGAGAGCCCTGGGGGTTGCCAAGGAGGAGCCACAGGGCCTCAGAGGACTAAGCGATGAAACAAATGCAGCTTCGTCTACCAGCAGAAATCTTCCGGGTGATGTATCTGTTCAAACAGCCTCATCTCCACACCCGTCACCTGGGCTGGGCGGTCGGAGCTTCATGGGGCCCCCAGGGAACGGGTGTGGGTGCTGTGCAGTCGCCGAAACGGGGTGGAAGTCACCCAAGCCCTTCTGGGGACAGATGGATTCTTAGCAGTGGATTCACAGCCGAGGTCTGGGGCTGGGGGGCGTTATTAAATAGATATATACAGTAGAAGGACAGGCAGACACACTGTCGCCTGCCCTGACATACATTGTCACTCAGACCCACGCACACACAGTCCCAGCACCACATTTAGCCCATCAATGACACACCGTCAGTCTCACCTTCCCCTGTGACTGTGCCCCCCCTTATAACTGGATTAACCGACTCTGCATGTGTTCCCTACCACCTCCGGCGATGGGGGACCCCCCTCCCAGCTCAGCACAACGGAGCCCTCTGTATCCCTATGCTTGGGACCTCTGCCACCCACACCCAACTCTGGCCTCCCCTGTGCAAGCAGGAGCAGCCAGCCAGAAACGCAGCCTTCTTCACTTGACAACCGCAGTGGCCGTGGGCGTTGGATGGAGAGCGGGGGATGGCAACGGGAGAGGCAGAGGAGAGGGACAGCAGCAAATTGGACCTACCTTCAAGGGAGCCTGTCCCTAGCTTCAGGCAGGTTCGCCCTTCCATGGGGAGCCATCCCTGCTCTGAGCATCTCCTCCCCTCCACCGCACGTTGCTACGGCGACCGCCTCTCTCAGCAACCCAGGGCTTGAGTGAGCAGCAGCAGCAGAGCTGGAGATGAGGGATAATTTGCAGCAGCAGCTCCTTATTCCTCCCTCAGACTCCCCGGTTGGTTGGCATGCGAGTGGCCGTGGAAGGGCCAGGGAGAGAATTCAGTGAGGGCTCCTGGGTTCTTTGGAAGGGGGCAAGTTATTCCCTGTCCCTAGGAGCGGCTGGGAAATGAGACCTTTCCCCCTCCACGCTCCCTGCCCCACAGCCCCTTGCACCTGTCAGAGCTGCAAATCTAGCCTAGGGGCTCCCTGGATTGGCCTAAAAGGAGTCTCCCCAGCAGCACCTTCCGCACCACGCCCTGTAATCGGGATGAGCCCAACTCGGCACCAGGCCACGCGGTGTTGCCATGGGGATGATTGTGATAGGATGTGCTTCAGGGCCTACTTTGTACAGAAGTGTCCTATGTACACCCAGAGACAGAAAGACACAGGGAGGCCCAGGTACACCCATTCTCTCTCTCTCACCTATCCACTCACACAATTTCTCCATTGTGGGTGTCTGTCTATCTGCCATACTGCCGACACCCACCCTGCCATGCAGATATGACACACTCACAGGATGATTTGCCGGAGTTTTCCTCCCTGCCCCACCCCCAATTATTCACTGTGGCACAGGCCTTGGGTGTGTCTCTCTCACACCATCTACACAGGAGTGACGCTTAGGCACACACGCATGCGTACACACCGTGGCGTCGGTAGCAGTGGTGCTGCCTGGTCAGTATTTCATCTCCCTTTCTTTTCCCCCTTCCCCCAGTTGTGGCAAGAGCCTGTGTTGGGGGCCGGAGGGGACACAGCAGAACGAATGCTGGGTAAGTGTGGAACAAGCTTTTGAGACTGTTCCTGGCAAACTCAGCATGCCTTGCCAGCCCCATGCTACCTTCTGTGTGGTGGCATTCAGTGATCGCTCAGGGCTTAAGGTGCTTGCTGGCGCTTTGCTATTCTCTGTGTCCAGGGTTCCCAGTGCCCCCACTGTAGCGGGATGGTCACCCACTCCTGCCTTAAAAGGCTTAAAACAGCCCAGGGAGAGGGCTGTGGAAGGGAAGGAAAAGCAGGGCTGATTGGAGAAAGCAACCTCAGCTGGGGGCCATGCCCCAATCAGGCCAAGGCTGGCTTAATGAGGGCCCCGCTGGCCCTTATAAGAGGGCTGGGGCCAGAGACAGACTCTCTCTGGCTTTGAGAGGGAGAGACCTGGCTGCAGGGAGCTGAGAGAAGGTACCTGGAGTGGAGTGGAGTGGAGCGGAGCGGAGCAGGGCTGGGGGAAGGCCAAGGGAGCTGGGGAGCTCCAGCCTGGAAACCCCCCAGGCTGCGGCCTAGTGGAAGGCCAATTAGGTACTGGGGTTGCAGGGGGCAGCCCACGGGTAGGCAGAGGCAGCAGGTCCTAAACCCCCTTGCCTATGATGAGTGGCTTATACAGCAGTCTGCCCCAGTGAGCGGGGGCTAGATGGTGATTGGCATTAGCCCACGACTGAGGCAAGGTGGGAATAGAGGGTTGGGGTTCCCCTGGGTGGGGAGACCCTGAGACTGTGGGGGTATTGCCATGGGGCAGCACCCCAAAGACAAGGGTCCTGGGAGGGACACAGGGGCCAGTGGGAAGTGGGACACTGGCCTGCAGAGGGTGCTCTGGAGCTGGAAAAAGAGCTAATTCCCAAGACACCAGCAGGAGGTGCTGCAGGGGTGAGTCCTGCCCCGTTATACCCACCCAGACTCTCTGCGTGGGATGCTCAGCCTTTAAAGGCACAGTGCCCAATACCACAAGCGCATGGCCTGTGCTGGTTTCATACCCGAGTCCCCATCGGACTCTCAATGCCTAGCCCCTGTGCTGGTCTCACTCCCTGTGCCCACCAGCAGCTCCCTCTCCCTGTGCTGGTTTCACTGCCCCCTGCCCTGAATTTTGTTTTAATTGTCAATGCAAACATCTGTTTGGGTTCCCTGCAGCGTGTTTGCTGCCTTGTCATTG